TTTGCTTTGGCTAAGGATATATAAATTTTTTAATTCCTGAGATAGCTTTCAATATGAAGCCCCACTTGCATGACGAGATTTTATTTATGTATGCCAAACCCCTCAACAATGGGGTGTGCAAAAAAATCGGGAACCGCCTGGACCGCCCGAGATCGAAGGAACACCTTCTTTCGCTTTCGCCTCACACTCACTCTCACTCTCTCATTCTTCTCGGTCGATAATTACCTCACTGTCTCCAACTCTCCACCTCCACCTCCGTCTCCGTCTCCATCTTTCCGTCTCTTTCCTTGGCTAGTGGGACCGGTTTCATGGACCCACCCGGAAATCGGACCAGACCAGCTGTCCGGTTCCCGGGTGATTCCCGGTTTCAATTTTTCGGAAGCGATCCTTAGTGGGCAGTTCTCGGTTCTAGGGTAAGTACCGTCCACCCGGATTATGCTCACCTTTACTCAACATGAGCGCATGCGCACCTACTAATCTGTGGGCTTGAACATAGGACTAATCACGTATGGTAAACAACATATCCTTTTCTAACAAATTTTTTTTATTTCTGTAAATAATGATATATCCGACATATCCATTTTGTCTTGGTTCTAGAGGATCCGGCTACAGGAGGACCGGGATCGGAGAACTTTCCCCCTGTTTTCGCCCAACTCGTTTATCTTAAGAATGTTAGTTTTAAGAATGCGAAGGATCGTACCATTCGAGCTCTTTTTTTTTCGTGCTTTTCTAGAAGTTTCTGAGAAAGCTGCAATCAATAGGATTTTCATAATCCTCCCTTCTTGAAGGACGAAAGTGAAATTCTTTTTCCATGGAAATCATGTATTTTACATATCTATGCGATTGAGTCATTGGGTTTTTCGAAATATGTAAATATTAAAAAAAGCGTTTCGAATTATTGCTATTTGACTCGGACCCCATTTTGTGATTTCTTCGATTTTGATTGTAATAGTGGTAAATTACAGTCGCAATATTCACACCATAAATTGATTGCACGACCTGATAAATTGAAAATTAACTCCCATTCCCATTCCTTATTTTTCATTTCGATTAATTTTATTACTCTTTTTTTCCCAATTATTGCATTCCCGTTAGCCAAATCATGAATTAGTTGAGATACTTCCGAGGATTATTATCGTTAGGATCAAGTTAATTTTTTATAGATTCGATGCCTTCTTCCACAATTTTGTGACGCCGTCGCCCAGTTATTATCTGCTTTGCCGATAATTTCGCTCTGTCTTATGCATGGCCGTAACCCGACACATTTATGATTACGATATATAATCAGTGACGATAACTCATTCAAGCTACATGTGATATGTAACGAGGAATTCAATGGCCATTGCGGTTTTTGTTGCAACGTAGCGACGGCGACTTTTCCACGCGACCCGAATTTATCGTAAAATAACCGTCAGTCGATATACATTATTAAACAATAGGATCGATCGGGACAAATGAAATTAATGAGATACAAATTACCAGTTTGTGATCATCATCATCATCATCATTAGTATTATTTTATATTTTATTCGCGTTGGTAAAACAGCAAACGAAATCGAACTGGTGCAGAACTCCCATGTGCTTGTCTTCCCCCCTCTATGACTGGATTGACGCGAGATGGAATGAATTCCTTCGTTCTTGAAACCCCCCCCGAATCACAAAAGGCGTTCCTGAAAAGCAGAGCCTAAGCGAAGGGAACGGGGCGGGGAGGGAGTCGCGCTGAGCCGCACGTGATCTGGGGTACGGCTCGCAGGACTGCCAGCTCAGCTCGCCCCGTTAGCCGGCGCACTCGGCGGCTTTTCGACGTCTCGCGGAAGCCTATGGCCCCCCCCCTGCCTCCCACCTCCCACGTGTATGCTGTTGCTCCGTTGTCCTACCCTTACAACGAATGTTGCCTTTTTTTCTTTTTCTTTTTATTAATACCATTGAAAACCTTAAACTGATACATCCGTGACATATTTATCTTAAATTAATTTTTTAATCATAAAAATTCCTAAACTGGTGCACCGGTGACAATTTCACCCTCCGTCAGTTTCCGTTAAATTTTACCGTTAAAATTTCTAAATCGGAGGACACGTGACGATTTGATAAGTGTACCAATTTAAAGTTTTATCCTCTATTTGTCACATGTGTATTGGTCTGTGATTTATCGTGCTATAAATCCAATTCAGCAGAGGATAAAATTATCACAAATGTACCAGTTTAGGATTTTTAGGGGTCAGAAAATTAGTTTGGGGTAAATTTGTCATAAGTGTACCGGTTTAGGGATTTTGGTGATCAAAACATTAATTCGGGGCTTATTTTCTATTTCGTTTCTTTCCTTACCAAAAAAAAAACATTAATTCGGGGTAAATCTATCAATGGTGTACCAGTTTAGGATTTTTCGTGATATTAATCCTTTTTTTTCTTTTTACCTGTCAAGTTTATTAATACAAATCTTTTTTCATACAACCCGTCCAACTGAAAATAGGAAGACACTAAAAGATTAGTTGTCGCCTAGATTCTTGTTAATGAGTATCCGTCAATCATATTAAATAAAGTAAATTTTTTAATATACCGATTGCACATAACATGAGAGAGGTAATGTAGAGAAAAAATGTTAATAAAAAAAAACAAAAGGAAAAGCTCTTGAAAGGTCTATCCACATGAAGAGAGGTAGTATGTAGGAGGATATCACAATCTAATTAGAGATATATCCCCCGACCCAAAAAAAAATTAGAGATATATCCATTTATTTTTCTAAATTTGTGGCATGCATTGTGTCATTGGCGTGTGAGTACTATACTTCTCCACTAGGAGTTGAGCCAGCACATACATATACTCAACTATAGTATGCTTAAATAAATTACGTGAAATTGGCAATTATCCCTTTGCTAAAACTCTATTTATAAGCCACGGTGCGAACAGAATCAGTCCACATGCGACTAATGCCATCCTAATACGGTGATTTCTTCAATAGAAATTTATCAACGCTATCAAAAGTCGTGGATTTTCCACAACTCCAACTTATATCTTAATGGTGGTGCTGATCGTATGATATTCTAGTACCCGATCCATTCAAAATCTTTCTCTCTCTCCCTTTCTCTTTGGCCACTTTCAAAGCCAATTCGTGTGAACTCGATTAATCAATCAAAAGTCTCGTCAGCGAACCAGTCTGGGAGCTCGTTAACCGTGCTTAATGAAAAAATGTATTGATTGCGCATCACGCGAGAGCGACGGTGAATCGAAAACAAAGACTTTTTTTTTTTTTTGAATTTAGATATTCAACGAGTCTGCGAAAGCAACCGGAAACAAAATTTCTTTATTTTGGTCCTGAGCAACCCACCCATTGGTCGGGCTTGAACCAAAAAGGCTGCTAAGCACCGGCAATTATGAATTATTTTATCGAAGCTGTGGTGACCATCCGCAACTTTCTCTGGTAACATTAAAATAAAATAAAAAAGTTGGATTGATTACGTCAAAAAGGCCAAAACCCAATGATTTTTCAACTCCAAAGATCTTCAATCTTCGGAACTATCGAACCAATGTACGTCCTCAGCACATACACCATATTTTTTTGGTCGAATTTAATTAGTCTTTTTTTTTTACATTTCAAATCCAATCCCACTACGGAAAAAAGTCAAGTAGGTAAAAAGTTCAGAGCTTTCTATCTACCGCAATCTATGGGGGGTGCGGGCAGGATCATGCACCGTATGACCCGAATTCCAGATCTACACGAGCTGTCGTTTTGGACGTTTTCTTTTTATCTTTGATTTTTCCAAAATTTGTGCACAGGAGGTGGATCGTATCATCATCGTGCGTTCATGCTTGTGCATCGAGAATCAACCGCACAAAAAGAGGAAGAAAGAAGAGAGTCCGCGGGTGTCGGTGCACCGATGTTGTGTGAAATGAACGAATGAAACCAAATACACGATGGTTGGCCTTCTCACGAGATTTGAAAAGGTCAGCATTTAAATCGCTTGGATGATTCTTGGTCACCTACTCTACCCTCCCCCCAATTTAATTCCCGAGCACCGAAATGGAGCCACGCGAAGAGAAAAGTCAGACAAGCGATGTTCTTCTACTTCTAGATTTAGTCGAATTTCCAAGATTTTGTGTTTGAATTTCGGGACAACCCAACCCAGAGAGAACTCGCGTCATCTATTGGCCCTGCTGTTCATGCCCTACGACTGGCTCTGGTAGCGGAACATGGAAAAAGAGTGTCGGAGTCTTAGCCCTTTAGGTTGTGCCGAAAGTCAAAGTAATTGCGGTATCCGGATGGTTGAGAGAGTCCAACTCTTCCCATTCACACACAAAATTTTCTTCGATTTCATTTTTGCATCGGGCTTGTTGAGAATTATACGTCCCTTCTTTTAAAGAGGTATACAGTTAGTTATTTCTCTGGTTCGCGGCGACGGCGGCTCTCTGACAACCGCCGACAAAAGACTACCCTTTTCTTAATAGACAGGGTAGCTATTCATTAATCCGTCCGAAAGGAAAGCAACCCATTATAGTCGGTGCCATGCAAAAGCGACATGAAAGTGAGTGTGTATTCCCACCCAGATCCGGCCAAACACAAAAAGGAACGCTCCAAAAGTAACTTAGGAGATGCATTTCCAAAAGGGATCGATCCATCAGGCGTGGAACGTTAGGTAAGGATTAAGTTTAAGAGAAGAGCGTAAAGAGGATTTGGCTTTTCCCGAGTCCTTCCCCCCCTAAAGGGCACGGGTCAACCGAATCGACCCGAGATTTTGAGTGTTGCCTCGGCAGGGACCACCGCACCATCCGGTCCCCGTCCGCCCACATCCCTCGTATATTCTCGCGTTCACACCCACGTATAAGCTATGCGCCAGCTAAGGCGGCAACGGCGGGGGAGACTTTCCTTTTCTTCTCTTCTCCGCCAAAACATTGTACATTTCCGAAATGTTTTAATCCCCCCCTCCCCTCTTTTTAATGAATAATCACAGTACGAGGGAGAGAAGGAGGGAGAGAGAGAGAGAGAGAGAGAGAGAGAGAGAGAGTTCAACGCAACAATACTAAATTGATGTAGGCAACTGTACAAACTATGGACTGTACCGAATAATTTCTGGTCATCTACTAACAACTACTCTTCCACCCTCTCTTCCCGCCAGCAATTTACAACCCCTATTTACAAGAGGACAAGCCCCTTCTTCTCCCCACCACCCTTTTGGCCTCCCTCCCTCCCTCTCCCTCCTCAAGGGATGAATTCAAATCTATCTCGGAGATTTAAAAAAGCCAAATCGTTTTGAAAATATGGTGGAGCTGTCCCCCCCTATGGACTGTACATGATATGGGGTGGGTCTCTATCTAACTCAAACCAACCCAACCCAACACTTAACTAAACGACTATACATGCCACCTATTTACACTGTACATGCCATGCCCCAACTCCCAAACCCCCCCCCCCTCCCCCGGTCCAGTTTAGAAGCCAAAAGAATATGCCCTCCCCCCCACGCCACCGCCACCATATTCGCCCTTTAATGCCCTGTTCTTCACTTTCAAGAATATGACCTGATCAGACCCAGATGGTACAGATTCCTCCTCACCATGCTCCCGAGCGATAACAGGACGGCCCCGGCCACCCCGACCGCTTCCTCTTCCCGCTCCGCCTTTTCGTCGGACAGCGGCGGCAGCTCCTTGACTTGCAGATTGGCCGGCCCGATCCTGTGCCTCACGGCCTCGATGATCTTCGGATCCGCCGGGTTCCCCAGCGCGTCGGTCACGTAGAAGATGTTGAGCGCCGTGTCCATCGTCGTGGAGATCTCCGCCCTCGTGACGTTGAGGCCGTTTTCTCGGAAGGTTCGCGTCACCTCGGCCAAGAGACCCACCCTATCCTCTGTACATAACTCTAATCTCACACCCTGCAAAACAATCAAGCATAAGTACAACACGCTCATTAGAAAACCAGAGTCGTGCTGAAAAACTTGATGTGATAGGCAAACGAGAGAAATAAAAACACTACCTTTGACGCTCTTCTCTCGACCGATGCTTGTAGACATTGAACCACCCGCTGCCTTTCAGCTTCGGAACTAATTGGGGTTCCGTCCATGTGCCTGATGTAGAATTCCTGCGATCAAATTAATGAAACCAGAGTCAAATAACCTATTCATAATCATAATTTCGACAAAATTATATCAGAGGATTCAGAATCATGTACCAACCAGATATGCCTTGTCTCCTGTAGTATTCACGGTCGCATGGAAGACAACATACTCCATGTCCGTAAGGGTGCATACGACATCAAACAAAAGCTTTGTCCTATCTTTACACTGAACATTCACTTCTGAGTAACCCCTTCCTGTCCAATTCTGTACAGTTACGACCGGACAATCAGCACTGGGCTGCAAGATTGGCTTCCTCTCATAATCACGGTCTGCAAACATCATTTGATGTAATCTTCTCTCGGTGTGCGTCACCGCCATCGACACCATCGTTTTCGCGCTTCTAATGTCGTTATCTCCTTTCAGAACATGCTTTAATCTCGCCTCGATCCTATTTATGTGCTGAGAGTCCTCAATGGGGGAACCGGAATTACAGTCTTTCACGTAAATTAGCGAAGCTATCCTTCCATTGTGAGTCCACACCTTCGCTTCCACGACATTACACTGCAAGTCGGCGAGTACGGCAAAGACCTCCGATAGCAGACCAACACGGTCAGTTCCGGTCAGCTCGAGCGCTGTCAGTCCCCTGTAGTCATTGTCCCTTCTATGGTGGATGGCGCCAAGTGACTGAAACGTGCAAGGGAATGATTAACTTCCAAGACAAGTTTGCAAGACACCAATTTCCACAATCAATCGAGCGGCAACATAAACATGTCTTGAACCGCAATTAATTCCGAAACAAAAAAAACAGTAAAATCACCTGCTCTATGTAGCTGATTTCGCTTTGGTCGGTTAATTTGTTTCCGTTCTGATCGGTCACATGGAAAACTGTAGCGCACAGAAGATCCAAGGGAAGAAGGGTCAGAGAAGTTTCTCATGACGCATCGAGCGAGGAAAAAGCCCAGCTAAAGTACACACGCTTTGAGGCGCACATTAGCAAGAACGAACTCCTCCCGAATACAAGGAACTGTTGCAAAGAAAGAACAAAGCAAAAGAAAAAGGGCAAGCTTAACTCACCGTCCATGAACCATCTTCCATCACAGGAAATGTAGGCTTTCTTGATCGAAAGGTTCAGATCCGTGAAGACCTGGACAGCATCCAATAGAATTCCATGTTTCCTGGCGCTATCAACCTGGATGACCCAGCAAAGAGTGACCCAGAGTCAATTTTTTGCTTGCAAGCCAACAGAAAAGGAGAACGAATAAGAGGACATTTGAAGCCCTTCTTCCCCTTGAATGGTTTCGTGGAAGCGTACCTCAACAATAGTGGCGCTGGAGCAAACGCGACTGTCGATCACGACCCTGTGAACAAAAAGACATGCGAAAGGTCAATTCATGGAAAATTGCCTTTTTAGAACTTCAAATTCCAAACGGAATCGCACGTCGCCGAAAAGCCCAGACGCGAAAAGAGAAAACAAAAACGAGAAAAGGGGAAATTATTATTAAACATACTTAATGAAGGATGATGTTTTGATTCTGCTAGTAATTGAAGACACGGGGAGTCATAAATCATCCCCAGATTTGGTGATGTTAAAAGAGTTTCCAAATGGGAGAAGATATCAAGATGAGCTTGGAATCCGCAAGAAACGGGCGAAATAACCAAGGAAAGAAATACGAGGGTCAGCTCAAAATCTGCAAAGGGTGTCGGGAAATCGAAGTAAAGAAGGAAAATGCGGATTGCAGCGTGAGAAAATGGCACAGAAAATCCATTCTCAGATCATAACGGCCAAACCATGAAATCATAGACGGAGAAAAGCAAGGTTATATGGAGAAAGTAAGACGAAGAGATCCCACAAAATTTAAGTAAATAAAAAATTGGCAGTAAAATACCAGAAGCGAAATCGGTGTCCAGAAGAGAAGAAGAACCAGAGCAGTAGAACTTAGAAACGCAAAGGGCAGCGACGGCCCCGGGAAAACTTTCACCGGAAACAAGTGGGATCGCAAAATTACGACCAAGTAAACAGAACAACGAAACGAGAGTCGTCAAGCACAGAAAGCAAGAGGAAACAGAGCCGAGCCTTCGTGCACGAGAGAGAAAAAATCAGGCACAAAAATAAGGACGCAGTTTTTCAAACTCATGCGGAAACGAAGAGGAGGAGGAGGAGGAGGAGGAGGAAGAAGAAGATGACCCAACCTCGGAGGATTCATTCGAAAGATGAGCTTCTCGTACTCGTCCAACACGGGCCACTCCATCGGCGCAGACGAACTAAAGCCCCCCGCGACAGCCTTCGTCTCAAGCCTCCGTACGGACCTCGGCGCAACCTCCCCGAACGAAACGTCCGCCCAAAAACGACCGCGGCGACGGCGGCAGCTCTCGGGGAAGTAAAGGGGAAAAGGCCAAGAAAATCCCGAAAAACGCGCAAAGAGCGAAACGGCTCCGATCAATTCCAGCCGAACGGCGCGAAATGCCCAGAGGCGCTCAAGCTCCTCCCTTCTGCCGCCCGATCCGCGCTTATGCCTTCGGTCGAATCGCCGTGGAAACGAAGCTTCGCTTCAACAATCCCCTTTCGTCTCTCTCTCTCTCTCTCTCTTCCCCCCTCCCCGCTGGTTTGAAAGCGCAAAAAGCATGCCTTGGTCTTAACTTAACTCGGTCCCTCTCCTCCTCAACCCAGATATATATATATATATATATATAATCTTATTTATTCGTTCATTTTTACAATTTACCTTTTTCCTTTCGGTTTTTTATCGACCAAAAGAAGAAAAGGAAAAAGAGAGAGAAAAAAACGCTCACACGCAAAAAGGCGTGTAGCTCTAGAGACTCTAGAGAGAAGAGAGACAGAGACTGCCCGAGCTGTCCCCCCCGCCCCGCTTGGAATTCCCTCCTCCGAGATTCAAACACGAGGGCGGAGTCGTTCGGTCAACCGTCTTTACCGCCACGTGTCGGTTGGGGGGCGTTCCTCGTTGTCCAGCTCGGACGCCACCTGTGCCGTCGCGGCAGGAGGAGGAGGGGGATTGGGTCCTTTGCGTGGTCTCCACTCCAATGGGAATGGGAAGTTGAAGTTGAAGTTGAAGTTGAAGTTGGGCGAATCCACTCGGTGGGGGGGACTGCGGAGCACCGAGGGGCCCATTTTCCAGCTGGAAAAACGATTTTTAATTCTAGAAATATCCCTCAGCAGAAACTCGTTTTTCCATAAAAACAAAAATTCTATCTAACACAACCTTCTTCCCCCGGAAAACGAAGGTTTCCGACAGTGATCAGAGGCGTTTGACGTGGCAATCCGACTTGCTCGACGTGGTCGGTGGCAACTCGAGCGATCGATGATGAGGAGCACGGACGTTAGGAAGGAAAAATCGAGTCGGGTCGCGGAAAAGACGATCGATTAGATTCCGAAAGAAAAAAAAAAAACAGCTCGATCCGTCGACCGTAAAACCGTCGTTCGGGCGGGCGTGCCTTCGCTAGCGGCTATACATATTTGCAAGCTCGCGCGTCAGTACCGTCGCCTCATGTCGCGACAGAAATCAGTATGATGTACGGCCGTGATTGCTCCGGCCTGTAAGCAGGGTTGATTCCATCGCGTGCCGTGGATTGGGGGGGGAGAGTGGTGGGCACTCCAGATCCGACGGGAGAGATTTCGTCCACGTGCTTCCCCCCCCCCCCCCCCCTCGGTGGGGCCCGCGGGGGGGGATCAGCCCTGGCTTGCTGATTAAGTCTTTGATTGATGAGGGCCGATCCGCAGCGGGGGGGAGGAACCGTGACGTCGGCACGTGACGACGCTCCCCATCTCGTAACAGATGGGGGCCCCTTCTTGCTGCCGCACCGTAGCACGGGTCGGGTCGGGTCGGTTCTTCTCTTTTGCATTATTTTCTCCGTCGGCATTAATTAATGGTCAATTATTATTAGTGATCTAGTCTTTTAACACGTACTGCTCGCGACGATCTTTCCTCCCCCCCCCCCCCCCCCCCCCCCCGCCTCCCGTCGCCGATGCTCGGATGCTTTTTCGTGAAATTGCCCGGATCTTATTATTATTTCCCGTTCGTTAAGCTGGGGATCAGCCTCCGCGGTTTGTGGGGGCCGGGGCGAGGGAGGGGGGGCGAAGTGGTCATTTGCGCGCGGTACGAGCTCCAAATCGGGACGTCCCCGTTGGTCGCATTTAATTGGTCGGGGACACGACCCGGAGGTGCGCGCGTGGTACGAGGAGTCCCGTGACGTGTCGGGCGGAGGAAGGGGAGGTCCCCGATTTGGGATGGAAATGTTAAATCGAGGTGCGTGCTTGGCGCTTTGCTATTTTTTTGTTTATTTAGTTTATTCTGTAACTATGTGCTTGAATAGGGTCGGGGGGCCGTACTGTCCGAAAAATTGGAAAAAAAAACCCGCTTCGGATTCACCTAACAAGTTTTTATGCTGGTCGTTTAAGCTAACTAACAAATTCGAAGAAGTTAACAACTTTTTATGGTGGTCGTTTAAGCTAACTAACAAATTCGAAAAGCCAAAAAAAAAAATTGTACATGAATTGATTTTTACTTTTTAGCTTTTTCGAATTGAACCCTTTTAGCTCGAAACATCTCAGAAATTTTCACAACATGGAAAATTAAATCCATGGATTCGCATAAGATTTCTTCGGGCCTTATTAAACTTTGCATAGTATATTAAATGCTTGCAGGAGCAAACATGACCTTGGATTTCTCGTGACATGCAAAATTGCTACATTTTTTTTTATTTCATTATTTTCTTAAAATGATCTCATTTTATGTACCGTCGCTCTATTTAGCTTTATGAATGGGTTTCATACCACTAGCCAATACTTAGGCGGAGTTACGGTGATGGGTCTAATCAACCTTGGACCGATGAGTCGCAAACGATGCTGAGTGATGACATCTTGCAGTCATAAATCCAAATGTTTCGTGACGAGCATGGAACACCTGTGGTAATGCCTAAAGCAAATAATCAAGTTGATTGGACCTACTTCTGTTTTTGAACAGAAAAGAGAAAGTCGATCCGGCACTCTAGGCATATCAAGTACAGTTAGAGAAAAGGTTCATATAATATGGCATCGGAGCACAGGTCAGCATTTTGAATCCCGACACGCTTTCTTAATTTTCTTCCACTCATTAATCTTGTTATTCTGCCCTTTTTTTCCAATTCCGCCAGATATCCCTATGTGGTTCTCTCCGCAACATGTCTTATGCGTGAAAAGATTGACTTACACGCAACGAGGATTGTTAAATCATACGTTATAAATACGATCTAACGGTTTCAATATTCGAGAAAGAAAGGTTGGTTAAAAACGTGTAAACAGAGCACTTTTGTGTGTGTTAGTGCAAACTTGTCGTCTTTGTACCATTCCATGAACGGCGTGTCGAATTAAAAAGAGAGAGTTCGTGGACGTTGAAGTTCGAAAGCAAGGCCATAGCCATAGCCACTTCCTTTCTGCTTTGGACTGGTTTGGCGGGAAGCCCTTGATGTTCCCGCCAGATTGGACGGGGTCGTTGGTTGGTCGGAAGCATCCATGGTGGATCGGATCCGAGGGGAAGGCAACCATTCGGACTTTGACTAAAAATTTGTGGTCCCCCCACTCGCTCGACGTGGAGGGCTGTGGAGAGCGCATTGATTTCTCCCCATTCCTTTCTTGTCTATTCTCCTTTTGAAACTCTATTTTTCTTTGGTCGGTATTCTCCTTTTGAATCTTGAACATTCAAATTCTCTTTACGTTCGTCTCGTTCAACTCGATCTTTCTTTTCACCGAATGAAAGGATAGGAAAAGGTGACTAAAAACAAGCGACTTGACTATGAACTTTAGAAGAAGGATCCCAAACACCATTGCAAAATGTTTGATTTGGCAAGTCCGTAACCACAACCACACCAAGATACTAGCGGCCAGAAATCTCTCCATATGAGGTATATACAAACGCGCATCCAAAGGTTCGAGATTGGCTAGCCCGTCATTGTGGTTTCAGCAAGATATTACTAGTCAAGAAATCTCTCAACACGATAAGAGCAACGTGATTTATTCAGAATTTCGCTCACGACGTGAATTGAACTCATGATCTCGCGGAAGACGAATGACCCTTTTTTTTCCACTAGGCCAAAATCGATTGGCTGTCGAGACAGGAGGCCGAAAAAAGGTGGCACGGAAAACCTGACTCGATTGAACCTCATTGTTCATAGGGTATTCTAATTTAAGTTCCGGTGCACTGTGTTTCTTCTGCTAATTTAGCGTTTGTCCCACTTTGAGTACTCAAAAGAAACTTATAGAGAGCGGCATCTCTATCGTCTCGTCCATGCGGGGGCAACCTCTCGCGTCAGAAGATCGAGTTGCTCGTGAGAGCGGGCCCCTAGAGAATACGCGACCGCAACGTTACAAACTCACGCCTTTGAGCGACAAAAAATGAATGCATATTCATGCATTCGAGCAAACCTCTTTCAAATGGGAACCGCGGAATTGGACATTAATCCGGCTCACGCGTCGCATGTTGGGGTGGCAAAGCGGAATCCCAAGAATGAAATGCGGTTTTTGAAATTTGGACTCGTTTGCGGTCCCAACGTTGGAGGTGACCCTTGCCCCACAAAGGAGTCTCTCTCTCTCTCTCTCTCTCTCTCTCTTCCCTCTCGTGAATGATCCAGGTGGTCCAATGATATCTCTTGCGCTGCTTCTGACGTGGCCTTTCTGTTTAAATTTTGGCGCCAGATGTTTGCGCGACGGATTTTTTGGGGGGGGGGGGGGGGGGCTCTTGGCGGGAATTTGGCTTTTGGAGCAATCAATCTTTAACTCCTAACCACGCGATCTTCGAGAACATCCAAGTGTGAGTCACGTTCATATCCATTATATGCCATCATGTGTGGAATCGTTATCGATTGCATACAACATACGGTAGCAATCGGTCATCTCCCTCTCTTGAACGTCCGACCGTTCTTCTTGATTCATTGAAGTCGGGAAAAGTTAAAAGAAAAAGTCCAATTGATGTGTGTATGGATATAGGGGCGTTCGCTGGACTAGCGAAAGTTGCCGATTCATCGATATTGCGGGGGCGATGATCCGTGTATAGCATTGAATCCGAGTCAATTTTCCGTATGACACGGTTCAATAGGTTGAAGCCCGCGAGCGGTGCATCGAGAAAATTGATCGATAGTAATATCTCAAATGGTGATGAAGCGCTTCTTAACGAGGGGTAAACTTTTGGGAGCGAAGACTCGTGAATATCCCATTGATGTTTCGGTTAAGAGAAAGTAGCCATCCTCAAGTCCTCTAGTTCCTCGTGAAAATTTAAATCAAAATCAGATTAAATTGTTGGGTTTTTGCTTCCTTTTTAAAATGAAAAATAAACGCAACAAATCAGAATAGATACACATTCTTCAGTTCAGTCCACTTCATTTAGTATATTCATTTACATTTTCTGCAAATGGTATTTGCGAGATATTCATTACGCAATGACATGACTGCACGCATCATAATTGTCAATTGATTTCATAGAAGACATGCCTCAAGAGAGAACATATAGCTTCAATCGTTTACTTCAAGAACAAAAACTCGACCGGCAAATTAGCATAAAATACTTGTCGAGATTCAAGCCCATTGGATCGAGTATATCATAATCGTTGATACGAGATCTCATGTAACAGTTGAGGTGGGGCACTCTAAACAA